AACTTGTAATAAAGTTGTTACATCTTGGCTTAACGTGTTTATGACGTATTAGAAGGTTGTTACAACTTGCTATATTGGTTGTTATAACTGGTTAGGAGGTGTTAAAACTTGTTCGAACGTTGTACCAACGTCGTAGTTTCGGTGTGTGTTTGGCGGGATCCCACTATTACTAGTATTCACCCAATATTTGGTAACATTCACTATCACTAGTATTCTTGTCGTATATCGTTCATTCATAAATAGTGGGGTTTGCGGCTGCATGGAATGAACATTTTGCCGTTAATGAGGGTGGACTGTGTTGATGGTGAGGCATTTAATGAATTGCGATTCGAAGACAAGAGGAAAACGAATCACTATTCACGAAACTTTAAAATGTATAATCAATTATGAATCATGGATAATAAGATTTTCATTCATAAACAGGAGGACGTTTGGCTGTTGAGTTAACGAGTATTTGACCATTGTTAATGAGGACGGGCTGGGAAGCTCACGCCGAAAACCCCAAACACCCCATGTTATATAATTTTGTTGTTTTGGCAAAATTGTATCTTGAAAAAAAAGGTGATGTTTTGTAATGTTCTCAGTCGATTAAGGTAGCGTCTGGGATGCTCTCGGACGCATGTTCGAATCCTCGTCACGGCCCTTGTGGATTTGTTCATTAAAATAGGTGATGCTTTTTTTTCATTCTAGGAGAGATACAAACAGTTGTAGGGGGAAGAGAATGCTGTTCTACTCCAGACCTACAGAACATGATTATAAAAAAGGCTTCGAACACTGTTTTTGAAGAATTTGTCAAATCTGTCCATGTCTGAGATTTTGGCGTCATATTTATTATAAACCCAAGTTTGAAGCTGAACTTGTGAGTCAACACACGTCTCCAACTTCTCTTACGAAGATTGAAATCCAAGTTGCTCCCAATTTTGGCATCTTGTGGACACTTGGGGGTAATCAGGCCCGAGTACTAGCTAAAGTCACACACACACACACACACACAACTCCGTCTCATCCATAACTCCGCACGGATTGATTACCAAGAGAATCTTTGTCTTGAATGCATTCACGACCGGCACTCTTCAACTTACGACATTGCTTCATCATCGCTGTGGTGATGGTGTTACCCACAGTCACTGTGGGTACAGATAAAAGGGGTGGTAAGTGCTATACCCCACAGTCACTGTGGGGCATAGCACTTACCACCCCTTGTATCTGTTGCGTTTTATGTCAACTTTCCTGAATTTTGAATTCTTTGCCACATCTGGCCTTAATGGTGTGAATGGTGTTGACTTCCACTTCGTTTTCAAGTGTATTCCACTTATTGACCCCCTCCCCCATGTTTTCCAATCCCATACAGGGTAGAGTATGAGTATTTCCTTAAGTTTCATAAAAACACTTTTTGCGTTTCCAGCGTCAAAATCTTCTTCTGGAGGACTTGAAAAATGGGTCACTAGAAAGAAAGGGGAGGGCTGAGCGCAGATGATTGGATGGAGTGATGCTGTAGTTGAAGATCAGAGAGATATGTACATACAGGTGTATTCCCCCCCCCCCCCCCCAACAGTTATCGGTGTATACACACTGAAGAGTTTAGTACCGAACATCGTTCAGAACTAGAGTATACTTTCTGGTTGGTCAGATGTTGTGATGACCGTAATAGCCGACCTTGCAGGGTGACGTACGGGCCTTATCTTAAACCTAGTTTAAGACACAACACAGGAACGCCATGAAGAAGACACAAGGTTAAGAGACGAACATTCGAGCATACACTTATGTATTCATGATAACAAAAAGCAAGGGGAGCGAGGAAGGGTTTCAAATGGGACCAAAAAGAGGGAATCTGAAAGGAGGAAGTGGGAAAAAAGGACGTAGGACGGAGGGGGAGAGAAGGATGGAAGGGAGGATGGAGGGGAGGATGGAGGGGTAAGAGTGGATGTGAAGCACTGAGGGGGCCCAAGGAGGCTATGTGGTGCATTACCCCCGAGGGAACACAATATTCTTCCCCCTTTCAGACAGGTTTTTTTCCCTTCCAACAACACCCTTAACCCCCCCCCCCCCCATTTACCTTCAGGCAAACCCTACCCTCTTACCACCGAGAATGTGTGTGATGAAACCCGTCTTTTCGACTAATAAGTCACATCTTATGCAGAATGGACCTGTACGTTCAATATGCGACGTAATAGTAAACATTACAACAGCGAAATGTTATTGTTGTTGATGATGGCCGTTCATTGGCCTCGAAAGATCAGGTGGGTGGCTTGAGTTTTTCATTTCTGGTCAGGGAAAATAGTTGCATTTCTTTACGGAATGATGAACCGGGCTGTGTGACGAGGCAAAGGTCACGGGTAAGCGGGTCAGTGTTGCTATAAAACCAGATCCCCGCGCGGGACAGACAGCGGGCAGGTTATGTCCCTGCCCGCTGCCTGTCCCGCCCTCCACATTGTGGATAGTTTCTGTGATTGGGAGAACACAGGTCTGAATCTGGTGAGTATGAGATAGAGGATAAGCACCTCATCCTCACGAATGAAAATAAAATTGAATCAAGATGAGCAAACTAAAACACCAGAAAACGATGAGACGATCGACGAGGACGTTTCGGGTCGTCCTGGATCATTATTAAGACGATTGTGATGGGAGCAAGGGAGGCACCGTCGTCTCCTCTCATCTTCTGGTGTTGTGGTTTGCTCATCATATCTTCAGCCACGTTATTGTGACTCATCGTATGAATATAGAATTACCCCTTCCGCCACCTCCCCTTTCTTCCCCACCCCTCCCCTTCCTTCCCACCCCTCCCTATCCTCTCGGACTCGGACTCGAGATACATCCACCCAAACATGTGGTTATTATCAACTATGTTGTGCTTCTATTAGCTCTTGCCTCGTGCCGGATATCTCGCATGTTGACGATAATAGATTAGTTTTTCTAAGGGGGGGGGGGGGAAAGAATAGACTCTTGGGAACAGCTGACGGCCAGAAAAAGTGACTTTTATATCGGCGTGGTGGGGAGCCCCGAGTCGGCAAGGAGAATACGAATTTCTGGAGGGGTGGCGAGCGGATATAAATGACCAGTTGAGATTGCTACAGGTTTGATGGAGGGAATTGTCATGACGGACGGGCAAAGATGGCGGCCATTGGTGAAACGGTCCAGACGGAATGGGGGAGGGAGGGAAGGAGGGAAGTAGAGAAAGAGAGGAAGGATGGAAGAGAGAGAGGGAGGTTGTGGCGTTGGGAGTTTGGAGGAAAGATAGGAATGATGGGGGGAGGGAGGAGAGGAAAACATTGAGGAAAGGGTCAATAAATAAGTTAGAAGAGTGCATTTTGAAGAGCTGGAGTTTGGAGTGGAGTCAATGGAGACATAGTGCAGGGAGATGGCATTGAAGAGGTACCTTCAGAGAGGAAACATGAGGAGGAAAAACGCACAAGAGTGAAACATGGTGTGGGAGTTGACGGGATATACGGGTATGGAGGGGAGTTTGGGACGTGGTTGTGAAGTGGAAGATATCCCATGAAGGCAGAAAGGCTGTTCAGCTAGACATAATATCTTCCTGCACGTCTTCCTGCGTTCTGAAGGTACCACGAAATGGATGGAAGGCATTCTTTACCAAGATAACCAGAAACACAAACCCAGCTATACACCATATTCTAATAATAACAGATTTTTATACGAGAAAATACCACATGTAAATAAAACTTGTGTTAAAATTGAGACAAGCGTCTCTGAGGTCAGCCGCATCTTAGAAAAATATTGACTGAGGACTGGATATCATCATCTCGGTCAACATCGACCAGGATATAGATCACGCCATGTTAGCACTCTTGAGAGATGCAATTTATGCGCTCAAAGGCAGCTTGATAACTGATTACTCTTTAGAGGTTACAATGTAAGCTGTTTAAGAAAGTGGTCATCGCTGTGATTAATGTCACACTTTTTATTTTAAGCTGAAACTACTAACCAGTAGTCGTAAAATGTACTTAGTCAGGAAGTAACTCAAAGGTAAGTATGAAATAGCAAAGCAGTATCTCAGATTTGGCCTTGAGGTTAATGTTAACTTTATAGTCAAGGAGATTCTGAGTGGGACATAAGTCTTATAAAGCGTGTTCCTGGTAAGTCTTTCGAGGCTATTTTTAAGTGAACTTGAGAAGTCTTAAGCCTTTGCGTGGGTTGGTGAGCCTATTATTAACATGGTTATGGTTTGAAAATTGTCAATACTTGATTTAGGAGTCCCTTAACCTCTAAACGTTGTCAAAATGGTAGTGTTAGTAGCGCTCATCCAGACTGTGTGATGCACAATTTGTATGGAAATGTGGCCATATATTAAAGAATATGTAAGGTTAAGAAGCTTACGTATGGCAATTATGCTAGACGTGCCAATTGTTCTAGCTGATATCCAGTGTTGATTGTTCTAGCTGATATCCAGTGTTGATTGTTCTAGCTGATATCCCGTGTTGATTGTGCTAACGGTTATCCCGTGTTGATTGTGCTAGCGGTTATCCCGTGTTGATTGTGCTAGCGGCTGTCTTGTGTTAACCAAAGTACAATTACCTATGATGTACATGCCTTATCATTTATAATAATTTTACTATTTTCTACAGTCCACCTTTTGTTCTTCCCCAAAGCGGCTTGTTGAAATCTTGACATATACATACAATATACATACACATGTTCATACTTTGGATCAACAAGAACTGATGGGCTTGTGTATATATATTTTTGTTGTGTTTTGTTTAAAGATGAATATATATTATTCATCTTTTCCTGCCGCTTTTTCCAACCACTTGGGCTGGACGGTAGAGCGACGGTCTCCCTTCATGCAGGTCGTCGGCGTTCAATCCCCGACCATTCAAGTGGCTGGGCACCATTCCTTCCCCCCGTCCCATCCCAAATCCTTATCCTGACCCCTTCCCAATGCTGTATAGTCTGAATGGCTTGCCGCTTTCCCCCTGAGTGTTCCCTTCCCTTCCTGCCGCTCTGGGTGTACTTGGTACTGGTGTGAGGCGAAGTGGACTTACCAGAGAGTTGAGCCAGCCTCTCCACGTCCGAAGTGGGCTTGGGATTGCGGTCCGTGACGGGATAGAGGATGGGCACCACCCTCACCCCTCGCCGCGTGATTTCGAAGTACATCTTCCCGACTTCGTCTGCTTTGAGTACCTGAGGAGACTCTGCGGTGACCAGGAGGATGACGCCGCCAGCGGTGCCCTGACCGTCACTCTCCAGCATCTGTCACCAAGTGGGAGACACATTTAACTACAAGAAATTTCACCTTACAAAACATGAGCATTTATTTTCCATCGTGGTAGAAATTACAAAAAAAAAATCAGCAGTGACGAAGATATATCCGACATTTGATGTAACTCCAACTTTAAACAAATACTCGCTAACGAAGACGAATTATTTAATGGATTTTAAAGTCTCTTCAATGTACGTACTGTATTATTTAGTTTGTTTTTTATGTTTTAAAAATAGGTGCGTGGAGTGACCAGTGATTGATCTGATCCAACCCTTACCCGGGGCCGGTCTCTATTGAAGGTAATGGGTAAAGGCTTTAATATACCACATAAAATCACCTGGAGGACACTGGAGTATTACTTAGACATCCATATATATATATATATATATATATATATATATATATATATATATATATATATATATATATATATATATATATATAACTGAAAACTCAGTTATATATATATATATATATATATATATATATATATATATATATATATATATATATATATATATCAGTTGCATATTGTCCTGGGGGACCATTCAGGCTTGTTCGCATATATATATATATATATATATATATATATATATATATATATATATATATATATATATATATATAATATATATATATATTCTTTGTAAAAATGCGTCCTTAACTTTCAAATATTGTTAGTACACGTTTTCATTACCTTTCATTTATTTATTATTAACTCGAAGCTGTTTGTGAAGTTTATAAGGATCAGAAGTTTTCTATAATGCTGAATGTGTATATCATTGTGCTAAGACATGGTGATCTTGATGAAACTTATCAGATGGGAAACACTCAAACTACTCACTACTAGTTTTAAAGCAAGTTCAGTTCAGTGTCTGTCAGTTAACGTGTATGTCAGTAACCAGCCAGGCCAATGGTTAGTTGAAGGGTAACTTAAGTTAGATTGGCTAGTTAACGTTAGATTCAAGTTGAAAACATTGGTAACTTGTCAGAAGCGTGCCAGGCACACGCCTACATAACCATTAAGTTAGATTGACATCTCAAAAACAACTTATATAAAATAACTAATAAAATCACTATCGTCATTATATTCTTACATTTTATTTTCATATAACTGTAATACCTGACACGACTTGCCGGCCTAGAGAACAGACGGCTCTACGAGGGTGTTACGAGGAAAGGTAATCTTACCTGTGATAACTGCAAACATGGAAATCCATTTGTATTTGAAGGAGAAAAAAAACTTATGTCTGGAGGGTAAATAAATCAGTGTTCTACAAAAACATATTACAGGTTAGACCACCTTGAACCTATGGGTGATTTAGGGTAAAAATCCCTTCTTGTGTGTGATATTTATGTATACACAAATATGGGTTTTTATCCTATGTTATTATGTATGTTATGTATGAGAGAGGATATTACCATTACTAATATGGGTGATTCATTTTGTACCTTTCAGCTCTGGTGGTTCATGTTGAAGAATTGGTCTAACGTGTGGTGTACAAGGTCATAAACCACGCTTTTTTATGTTCAGGCGTCTGAAGGCTGTTCTTATGTTGGCCAACCTTGCATATGCCGCTGATTATTTTAATTTGATGTGTGCTATCGCGAGAGGATCGATAACAAATATCCTCCAAGTCCGTGTCATTAACGTACCTTTGACATCATTTATTCGCCTCACAAACAAAATTACGAACATACTTTAAACATAACACTAACATAAATTAAAATCTGACTCGCCCTCCGGGATATAGGAACTGTGCAAAACCGATCAGAACACCAGAAAAAGTCTGCCAATTAAAAGTTTGGGCAACGATCCCGCTTGGAGTCATTACTTACATCGATAGCCGTCCTCAGGCCGCAGGTGAAGCACTTCTGACTCTGGGCGATGTTCGAGGGGTTCCTGGGCATGGAGGCGGTGGCCAGCCGTTGGCGCTCATCCAGCGTGGTGGGCGTGGGCGTGAGCGGAAGCTGGATAGACACCTCGTTGGAGAAGAGCACCACGCCTACTTCACTGCCAGCGGGAACGTCGTACACCAGAAGTTTCCGCACGGCCTTCCGCAGGAACTCCCAGCGCTTCTGTAGGGGTGAGAGGCGTCCATATTTTATAAGCAGATCATTGTACCGTATCGGGCCAGCAACACTTGGGCGGGAGGCGAAGGATGCCGTTATTAGGGGAGGGTGTTTGGGTTAATATTTGAAAAGGCGGGACACATGAAACATACAGGCGTGGCGCATTATGAAAGATACAGGCGGGCCAATTACCAGCAGCATAAGAGGACACGGATGTTAAGAAGAGGCACAAATAAGCTGCCGAGATATTAAGAAGAACCTCTTCAGTGTAAGAGTTGTAACCAAAGAGAGTGTGAGTCGGGCGAAATGGCGCAGCGAGATTCCATGTGAGGGGACACGTCTTCAGAGTACTGACTGTACTCACTCTCCAAGTACTGGAATTTTGGTTCTGTGGTTGATAGATTATGGAAGCATTTAGGCATGAACCCTAACGCTGGAAGGTAGTAAGTATAGAGGCAGACTCCATACCTGGGTTCAAAAATATAGTTAATACTCAAAGGCATAGGGAACCACACAAGTATAGCGAAGATTCAATGCCGGAACCCAGGAGCTGAATCTCATTTCCAACAACAAATACGTAAACACAAACACGCTGCCTTGCCCACTCTAGGTTCATAATATGAATAAGAGGTTTTATCTATGCATCAACGTACAGTGGTGCCTCCCTGGAGGCGATAATCACAATGTTTACTGCTAATGTCCCCCTCGCCCTGCAGGTGATGAGCGCACCGTATGAGTGTAATGTAATCCTGGAGGGATGGATGACATCCTCATCCTGGAGGGATGGATGACATCCTCATCCTGGAGGGATGGATGACATCCTCATCCTGGAGGGATGGATGACATCCTCATCCTGGAGGGATGGATGACATCCTCATCCTGGAGGGATGGATGACATCCTCATCCTGGAGGGATGGATGACATCCTCATCCTGGAGGGATGGATGACATCCTCATCAACTTGAGATCTCTGCTGACAGGGTGAATGTGCATGTACACCCGCCTCTAGCAGTACTTGCAGACGATTCACCTTTAGTTCTTGGGCATCATATTCAGTCTGAAGTTATATGTCTTCAGTCTGAAGTTATATGAGGTTCAATTATATGTTCAGTTATATGAGGTTTAATTGGTTTAGTCTCTCCTTGAAACTCCAGGCTTGTCTTTTTTGGAGCGAGTCTGATGGCACTTATAGGGACTTTCTAGTATTTTGTTGTGGATCTGATTAGACACTGTCGTCATGTTGGCGTACCATATTTCAGAAAAGTAACCGACATGAAAGCCTCGGCGCTCGTGGTGCTTCAGAAGTTCGGTTCTGTGTGATGTCTACCTACAGGTCCTTTTCCTCTGTCCTCAGTAAGGTTTTTCTTCCCATTTGGTACCATGTGTCGGGCTTTCTGTCCACAACTATCATTATATTGTTTTAGTTGGAATTAAACTCTGACATCACTAATTTGACCATAATTACAGTTCGTTCATGACTTCCTGTAGCATCTCGCAGTCTGTTTTCATCCTCCACATGACTGTAACATCATCTATTTTTAAGGAGTCTATCATTCAGTGGGAGATATATTGAACTCAAAAATAGAATGTCATAGACTGAGTCCTGTGGGACTCAGTAATATCTGGCAGCTACGGTGACTATATTGTCTCACTTTAATGTTTTATTTATAGTTTCTTCCCTGACATTGTCAGGTCATCTGGTGCGCTAGACGCAGGTGGAACACTGTGCCCAAGACCCCTCTCACAGTATATTACATATATGTACTAAACTAGGCCTGAAATTACGAATATTTAGCCTGGGATTGCTCATTTAGGCCAAGATATGTAAGGTTAATGGCTCTGTTGCCAGTGAGAGTAGCACCAAGAACAGTGACTACAGTCCTCTTTTAAAATCTTTATACAGTGCCAGGGAAAAAGGAAAGAGGGATAACCCACTAAAGTGACAAAGACTTGGAAGAGATACGAGGGAAGGGAGGCGATGAGTCACAATAACGTGACTAAAGTAAGTTGACCAGACCACACATTAGAAGGTGAAGGGACAACGACGTTTGGGAACTGTTCTCAATCGACTTGAGAATGGTCCAGGGCGGACCGAAACGTCGTCGTCCCTTCACCTTCTAGTGTGGTCTGGTCAACGAGGGAAGGGAGGTATGAGGAGGGAGCGATGGTAATGTTTAAATGTATTTCCGAGTGATGTAGAGCATCGAGGTGTGGATGTTACAGGTCAACATCTTGACGGAGATGTTGACTTCTTACATCTTCAGGAGGTCATCATCCGGAAGTCATTTTTCCGGTCGAGTGTGTTAATTAGAGCGGGGCATTAGCGTGTGTCAAGGTTCTGGCTGGAAGAAACGTTCAAAAGAAGTGACAACAACCATTATTTTTCTTCGCAGAGAAAGGGACTTTTGAAGATTTTATTGACGGTGTTGGTGTGGATAGAGGCGAGTGGGTGTTAAAAGTGAGTATTCCTCCGGCTGTAAACTATACCTCGGGTAGTAAAGTATTCCTTAAGTGCTAAAGTTTACCTCGGGTGCTAAAGTGAGTTATTTAATGGCATTATTTTCCCCCTCGTGTAATTATTCCACAACATGTAACATTTACTGTATTCTCAATGTGTTTAAACTTTTATTATATATATATATATATATATATATATATATATATATATATATATATATATATATATATATATATATATATATATATATATAATATCAAAACAAATCTATTCTTTTTCTATATACAGTATGACCACATTAACATTTACACTACTCTTACTAATTTGCATTAGATACAAATACCAATTCTTCTTCTGATGTATTATACTGCTATGCATGAAAGGAACTGCGAAGAACAAAATAAGTGAAATGTCACATTTACTTTCAAGCACGTCGTGGACCAGGGAGGGGTTAAGGTGCGCGTCTGGGCTGACTCCTGGACGCTAGTTCGATCCCACAGTCCTTCACCGAATGATTTCTCATAATTTCTCATAATCTCATAATTTTGCGTAAAAGGAGTAAGATGTAAGAGGGTTGGAGTGAAGGTGTGGAGGGAGCAGGAGCTGGAGTACAGGTGTGGAGGGACCCGGTGCTGGAGTACAGGTGTGAAGGGACCATGAGTACAGGTGTGGAGGGAGCAGGTGCTGGAGTACAGGTGTGGAGGGACCCGGTGCTGGAGTACAGGTGTGGAGGGAGTAGGGGCTGGAGTACAGGTGTGGAGGGAGCAGGAGCTGGAGTACAGGTGTGGAGGGAGCAGGTGCTAGAGTACAGGTGTGGGAGTTAGGGCCCAGGTTACGACCAGGGCGACACTTTGCATGACCACCTTCCGCATATATTTAGCCTCACCATTCCGGGACTTGCTCGTAAAAATTTAACACTCACTGGGGCCCCCTGACCGACTTCCTCCACACTTCACTTGTTGGATTTTTACGATCTTTTATTTTTAAAATCAATACATTTCCTTTATCGGAACTAATTAAATTTCCTAAGCACCTGAAAGAAGAATTAAAAACTCTTAAACCTACTTTAACAACTTTTTATCATATAAATGAAAGGGTTAGACCATTTTTTTTAGATTATAAGGCTGCTTTTCAAACCTGTTATCGATATGCGCACTTCTCACCTTTTCTCGCATTTCAAGATAAAGGAGTTCATTTCACGCAAGAAAAACTACATCATTTCCTTTTGCTTTTCCTTTTATCTACCACGGAGGAGGAGGAGCAGGAGAGGCCAGGCCGCGTTATCAGTTACAGAGATGAATTTTGCAATGCCTTTGTGTGAAATTCCAATAGCGTAAGGTGCTCGTGGGAATTACGTGGAGAGATTGCTCATCAATAATGTAACCGAAGATGATTGTGCATGCGTGCGGGTAGGGCTCTTGGGTGTGTTTGTGGGCCTGGGTATAGGGCTCTTGGGTGTGTTTGTGGGCGTGGGTATAGGGCTGTTGGGTGTGTTTGTGGGTAAAGGGCTCTTGGGTGTGTTTGTGGGCGTGGGTATAGGGCTCTTGGGTGTATTTGTGGGTGTGGGTATAGGGCTCTTGGGTGTATTTGTGGGCGTGGGTATAGGGCTCTTGGGTGTATTTGTGGGCGTGGGTATAGGGCTCTTGGGTGTATTTGTGGGCGTGGGTATAGGGCTCTTGGGTGTATCTGTGGGCGTGGGTATAGTTTCTGGGTTCATCTGTAGACGTAGGGTAGGGGTCCTGTGGGTATCTATCAGCTTCCCGGACTCCACTGTTGAGGCAAGTTAAGTGTCCATCAAGCTGGTGTGTTTTGATTGTACTGGGGTGAAATATGTTGGCCTAGTAATCGAGCAGTCTCTTGGAGAGACTGGAGGAGGAAGAGGATAGAGGGAGGAGGGGAAAACTTTGGGGACAGGTGATGGATTAAAGGAATGAATAAGGTGAAATAGAGCAGAAATTGAAGGGTATAAGAAAAGGGAAGAAAGGACCGGAGAAAGGGAGAACAGAGAGGGAGAAAGGTAGTAATTATCAAAAGAAGGCACCAAGCCTTGAGGGTGAAAGGGAGGAGGATGTAGTACCAGCATGAATCTGGAGACGATGGTATCCAATACCTTCCACAATTGATACTAAATCTTCCATTCGTCACTGTTTACTAATACTTGGGACTAGGAATTAGACTAAGATTTTCACGGTATAAGACTTGCATTAAGCTAAGCTGAGTTAAGAACTTTAGTTCATCTTCCCCCTGATTTCAGATTCACGCTTGTGTTTTGTCTGTAAGAATGTTTTTGTGCTGAATTATGTACTAACAGACTGGACTTTACACACTTGTGGCAACAGCATAAATATGAGGCTGAACTGCATTAAAAGTTTGTACCAAACATTCAGAACACATAAGGTTTATTTGTCTTAAGTTCAGAGTTTAATCAAGTTTTACGTATAGTTAAAAATATCAACACACGATTTTAAAACAGATCAGACACTATACTGATCTTGGACACGTGTTTAGCTCGCTTCAGAGTGTTCTAATTACTTAATTTCTATATCCAT